CTTGGGGGCACTACGCAAATATCTCAATAGGTGGGGCACCAAGACTGCCTGGTTGGGTGGGTGCATTTGTCAGCTGGTGGGTCTCTGGGCTTTCTCCTAAGCAGACAAGGTCAGAGCAGAATGAAAACACAGCTTGACTTCGTCATCACCAGTTAAAAGCAGCAGACACATCCAATTTCTCCCCAAGCATTACTCAGTCCTGGTTACTGATCAACCTGCTGCTGGCTTTCTCCTTGAGCAGCCTCCCTGGTTCTATATACACTTTATTGTTCTGACCAGGAACTGGTCTTGGAAAGTGTTTACATTTACAATTTCACAATTAAGGAGCCGGTGTCATCTTCCAGAAAGGGAAACTGTGCTCTCAGGCCTCCTCTGAGACTTTTGGCCCCACTCAGCTCACTCAGTGCAAAATGAGATGATTGGCCCACAAGAGGGAAAAAGCCAGAAAGCCATTGGAGACTGTAGGGGACGCTGGCTGGCCTAGGATTGATTTTTTTTTTTTTTTTTTGTTTGTTTTGTTTTGTTTTGTTTTGTTTTTAAGGGCGTACGTGTCTCTATGTCATCAGGGACTGAGGATGATAGACCTCTGGTCCCCACAGACCAGACTGCCTTTAATTGGGAAAATAAAGCACAGATGGGGGAGTTGGTTTCTGTTGGCTCCCCTCCTTACACTTTACAGAAGCCCTTCTGGCCTGGCCACAAGCTTCGGCCTCCCAGCGTGCCCGCTGGGCTCCCTGCTTCCCTCTGGTGGTGGAAGTTCAAAGCGCGGACCTTAGCGCAGGAAATCCCAAACCCAAAAGGCAGCACGAGGCTGGGGACCTGAGGGGCTGGCGCTGGGAAGACGCCCAGCAAACCTGTTGTTATCACTGGATTGTATTTTCTGGGAAACTGGGGCCCAAGGAAAGGGAATGTCCGCGCACTGGTGTTGAGAGAATGGGAGATCCCAGGGGTCAGTCACCGGCACACCAGGACCCCTGCGGCCGCTGAGGTCGCCGCGACCGAAGCTGGGAAGCACCGGATCCTCGCGTGGCGGTAGTTTGGACTTAAGTTTTCCTTCCAGTGCACGTAGGGATGGAACGGAGCCGCGGGCTCGAAGGCGGAGGTCGCAGCATCAGGGAGGAGCAGGGCGTGCCCGGGGGCGGGACGTGACGCACCTTGGCTGGGAGGTGCCAGCCCGGGCGCTTCAACACGCTGCATATAAGAGCAGAGTGGAGCGCGGAAAGCCAGAGCCCGCAGTCCCCAAGAGTCCAGCTAAGCTCGAGCGGTCTCGAAGCCAAGTCCTTCCGCCACTCCCGAGCCTCTACCTTCTCTTCGGCTCTGCATCTGCCCCCGGGGCCCCGTTGCCCAATGAAACTGGCCGCGATGATCAAGAAGATGTGCCCGAGCGACTCTGAGCTAAGTATCCCAGCCAAGAACTGCTATCGGATGGTCATTCTCGGCTCATCCAAAGTTGGCAAGACTGCCATCGTGTCGCGCTTCCTCACCGGCCGCTTCGAGGACACCTACACCCCTACCATCGAGGACTTCCACCGAAAGTTTTACTCGATCCGCGGCGAGGTCTACCAGTTGGACATACTGGACACATCTGGCAATCATCCGTTCCCCGCCATGAGGCGCCTCTCCATCCTTACAGGTGAGTAGGAGGCCGGAGTCGGGGATTGGGGGAGTGTGCTGGTGTGTCGCGGCAATGCGTCCGTCGTTCCACCCCTGACAACTGTCCTCACCTTTCCTACTCGTTTTCTTTTAGGAGACGTTTTCATTCTGGTGTTCAGCTTGGACAACCGCGATTCATTCGAGGAGGTGCAAAGGCTCAAGCAGCAGATTCTAGACACCAAGTCTTGCCTCAAGAACAAAACCAAAGAGAATGTGGACGTGCCTCTGGTAATTTGCGGTAACAAAGGGGACCGGGACTTCTACCGAGAAGTGGAGCAGCGCGAGATTGAGCAGCTGGTAGGCGACGACCCTCAGCGTTGTGCCTACTTCGAGATCTCGGCCAAGAAGAACAGCAGCCTGGACCAGATGTTCCGTGCGCTCTTTGCCATGGCCAAGCTGCCGAGCGAGATGAGCCCCGACTTGCACCGCAAAGTGTCTGTGCAGTACTGTGACGTGCTGCACAAAAAGGCTCTGAGGAACAAGAAGCTTCTGCGTGCAGGCAGCGGCGGCGGCGGCGACCCTGGAGACGCCTTTGGAATCTTGGCGCCCTTTGCCCGCAGGCCCAGCGTGCACAGCGATCTCATGTACATTCGTGAAAAGACCAGCGTCGGCAGCCAGGCCAAAGACAAGGAGCGCTGTGTCATCAGTTAGGAGCCCCCAGCGTCGGCCACACAACCCGAGGACCTTTTTGTTTAAAAGTCAAATCGGATTCCTGGGCTAGCCTGGGCGCTCCGTGCTACGAGGGCGCCAATTGGCCTCCTCCTTCGCTTCCTGCGACCCAGCCCTGCGCACCGGGAGACCATTAAGGGACAGTCATCTGTTGTGAAAGGAAAGAGAACTGGCTAAGACTGGACACTAATACCCCCTGTTGGTGCCTGCCCTCACTTTTGGGATGTCAGGACCCAGCACAGGGACACTTGGCGTTTTTTCTCAGAGACCGGAGAACGAGAGTGTGTGAAGTTCATCAGGCCGTGAGACTTCAAGTAACTAATTGTCCTGCCTGCTGGAGGGACAGGACCAACAAGGCATTATCTTGTCTGTGATTGGTGTTGCCATGACAGCTGCCAGCCACTTCAGTCCTCTGCAAACTGGAAACTTTGGCTGGGGGGGGGGGGGAGGGTCAATCATAGGCAAGAGAGTTGTTTACGTGTGTGTGTGTGTGTGTGTGTGTGTGTGTAATTGCTCAAAAGAAAAAAAAATCACAAAACATGCACTTTTAGTTCCAGTGTCAACATGACATGAACAAAATCTCTCTATTGTGTGAGGTCTTTATTATTTTTATTTAAAATAAAATAATTTAAAAATGGAAAATAAGGCTTCCTTTGCTCTTGCTTTTAGGGAGCTGGGTTCCTGCCTCAGTGGCAGTGGCCGAGCAGAAGTGGGGAGGGACCTTGCCTTTGGAAAACAGCCTCCCAGCTTCCAAGTGGGGCATACTCTAGACTTTTCTGGCTTTCTCTGTCCACCCTTTGCCTGTCACAGAGGGCCTCATTTCTGAAGACATATTCATAGTGTCCTTCCACACTGCCCCATCTGTTACTCAATTGTGGCAAGCTACAGAAAGCTGTCATTCTTGAAACTCTGACCTTGATTACCACAAATAAGAAGCCTGAGAAATGTTATCTGGGAAAAAGCCAGTGCTAGCTGCTTATCCCTTGCCCCAGGGTTGCCACAGGACCTAGTAAAGTGCTAATAGCTTGCAGTTTAGCCCCCAGAAGCACTCACCAGGTGAGGCTTATCTCCATTGCATTTTGCAGTCTCCCTCTGTAGCCAAGGGTTCATGGCTTGTGACCCAGATCTCCTAAACACTCCTACTGTCAACTTGGGGCAGGCCTCACCTTCCAAGCCTCTGATTCTGTAGCCAAGAAACAGGCACTCTGTGGGGGTTCAGCATGGTTCAGGATTAGCACAACCGTGATACCCATGAGCCAAGTGATACCAATGAGCCAAGTATCTGGTGCTTTTCAAGAGAGTCTTGAGCTTCAAGGGATGCCCAAGATTGTCCTAGGGGTGGTACTTCGACCCTGCTTTGGGAAGGGCCACTTCCAAGGAACCATGCCTCTCACAGAAAAGCATTCACTTCTCAACAATGGATGGCTGGGCTGTCCAGGGTCTCCTGCAGGAGATATGCAGGCTTTTATGTAGTTTAATGGATGCACATGCTGGGTGGAGGAGGAGCACAGAGAACATTTTTGCCTCTGCACTACCTACAATCTTAGGGTTTGACTCCTAGTACTGTTGAAAAAAGACAGCAGGCAAACCATGCATCCTGAGTAGAGCACACTTTTAATTCCGTATCTGCAAATGTGACAGGTCAGCACACTGGAGTAGAGAAGACTCCATCTTCTCTGGCCCTCTGCCTAGCAGGAGGACCTGAAGCTTCTGCATCTCATGTGCTCTGTATTTTACAGAAACAGGGCAGAGCCTTAAAACTGGGCTCACCCACTGCTCCAACTTTCCAGAAAATAACTGATTCAGTTAAATAACAGTTCCCAGGTAAATGTGGCTTAATTGGCACTCTCCTCCCAAACTCAGAGCCCACTTTTTTGTACAAACCACTGGAACTCATCACCCTCTTTCACACATCCCAGGCCTAACTGTGAGGCATCTTGGATAGACAATGCCACCAGAACATTGCCAGCCAGTACTCCTGCCAGGGCCAGCTGGCAAGCACCTGTTAAGTCCTAAACTGGTCAGCCCAGGCTGTGCCCATTTCAAGAAGTATTGGGTACTTCTCACCTTACTTCTGAGAGAGGAAGGGCCACCCTGCCCTCAGTGTGACAGCTCCTGGGAGGGAGAGAACACGGTGTCCCATGTGGGACTAGCAGAGCACACTCTACAACTAGCACACAGCTATGGAACCTCCAGGCTTAGCTACCCCTGCCCTACAGACCTGACTCACATCACACACACCCCTGGCTGAGGAACCACCCCAATTACCCCCTTCCAGCCACTCTGCTCCAAACCTGAAGTGTGCAGGAACCATGTGCGGGGTAGTGAATGTGACTGACTCCTTGGCTAGAGAGGAGATGACGTGGTAAGCTGGGGCCTATGAATCAGGGCAGAGCTGCTTGCTCAACAGCCTCTTTGAGCCAGCGTGGGAAGGACAAAAGGCCCCAGGCAAGCAGCGCTTTGGCTATTCTGAGCACTGCCTGGAGTGATGGAGATAAAGGGAGCAAGAGCCTATAAGGCTAGTGTGCAGGAGGCTGGAAACTGGAGTTGGTGGCTGGCTGGCAGGGCTCTGGGATGATGCCCCAGAGATAACAGTTTCATTCAGTAGCTCAAACAAAAAAGGAAGTGAACTGTTTTGAGGGGAGAAGCCACCCACCCTCTGGCCTTTCAAAACAATGTTCACACTCTCCCAGCCTTCTTTAATTATATTAAATCCATGCCATCTGAGTGCAGGCCTAATTTATCCCATGAATTCTATGCAAATGCTTCATGAAACTGCTGTTAATGGGAACAGTATGTACCAGATATACTCTGATGATATGGGGAGTGGGAGGGGCCATGAGGGAAAGAAGGGAACAGCCATCTCCTCTCCTTCTGTGCCCTCTAGATCTGCTGATGGGGCCAGGGCACAGCTAGTCAAGGCTGAGTACAGACACGGAGGCCCCACACCAGCCACATGTGGCCCCCAGTTTAGAGCTGGGCTCCCAAAAGAGCTGGACACCACAGGTGTGAAGCTCTGAGTCCTTTGACAGTTGTCCTGGGAGCTGGCCCTACTCCTTGGGGATCTCAAACATGCAGAGGCTCTTGTACTTCTGTAGAAGCTCATTCTTGGTCCTGACTTGCTCCCGGAGGCTGTGAAGCTGCTGCTGTTGCTGCTCAGGGCTCACATGTATGCCGGGCATGGTGCCTATGAGCTTCCTCATCTCCTGGAACTTTGTTTTGAGAGCATTCAGGTCCTGGTGGAGATCTGGGCTGTCCTTGTCCATGCTATGGGTGGCAGGGGGAGTAGAAGGCAGTCAGTTATTATTAGCAGGAGCAGCTCATCTCCACAATGGCTTCCTTTGATACTCTCTGAATGTTCTATTTTCCATGTCTATCCCCTGAGTAGGTTGCCTACCCCAAAAGACAGGAATTGGTCTTTTTGTTTTGTTTTTTTACCTTAGCTTTAAGTTAGATCATAAAAACATTCCCTTGACTAGCACACTTGACAAATCTGATACTTAAACTCCCTGCCCCACTGAGGGCAGGGACTGGAGCTTGCTTCATCACAGGTGTCTCACTGGTCTGGCCCTATACATAGGACATTACGCTCAAGAACCAATTGTGGATAAGAACGCTTACACGTTTGAGTTTGGAGCCCCACCACCCATGTAAAAGTAGGGGCTATAACCCAGCTTAGGTAGGGGTGGAATATAGAAACAGGCAGGTCCCAGAAGCCAATGAGCCAAAATAGAAAGCCCCAGTTCTGTGCAAAGGAATACAGTGAAGAGTGATAGAGCAAGGCACCCAAAGTGCTCTCCTGTGGCCTCCCTTGGCACATAAATGCACATACAATATGCCAAATTATGTTTTCAAAACACCACCTGTCAAAAGAGTGAATGCCTGGGAAGCAAGGCCACAGCCATGCTAAATGAATACACCATTACCAATCACCAGCTGATTGCTACCCAAAACAAAAAACAAACTTGATGACATACTCCACTCCACCTGACCTGAGCCATTTCTAGGCCAACCAGGAGACTTTGAGCTAGTAGGACCTTCATTTCACTGAGGTATGATGCTGGCTTAGACTTTAGTTATCATAAAGATGAATTCCCATAGAGCTAATCATGAATTTAACTCAGTTATAAGTCGCGGAAATTCTTCAACAGACATAGGCTCTCTTCTACCATGGTTCTGCAAATGCCTTCTTCTGGGTCAAGTCCATTTTCAAGGCAGATCATTCATGCCTTTTCACAGCTGTGATCCACTGCAAAAAACCCCATTCCTGCCATCAAACCAAAAGCAAAAGAATAAAGGTCCTAAGAACAGCATGGTGGTGGCATACACCTTTGATCCCAGCACTCGGGAGGCTGAGGCAGTTGGATCTCTGTGAGTTCAAAGACAGCCTGGTCTACAAAGCGAGTTCCAATACACAGCCAGAGTTGTTAAACAAAGAAACCCTGTCTTGAAAAATCAACCCCACTGCTCTACCAAAAGAAAACCCTGAGAACAAAAGAATCAGCCCCTGGAAGCCAGGAATTATGATCTTCAGAACAAGCTCCAGCTCAGAGCACCAACACTGAGGACTGTCACTGATCAGGTGTCAGAATTTAAAAAACACTCTTTTAAGAAAACTGGCTCAGAGGGGCTGGAGAGATGGCTCAGAGGTTAAGAGCACTGGCTGCTCTTCCAGAGGTCCAGAGTTCAATTCCCAGCAACCACATGGTGGCTCACATCCATCTGTAATGTTAACTGGTGTTCTCTTCTGATCTGCAGGCTAACATGCAGGTGGAACTCTGTATACATAATAAAATCTTAAAAAAAAAAAAAAAAAGAAAGAAAGAAAGAAAGAAAAGAAAAGAAAACTGGCTCATATCACATGTTTAGAAGTATAGAGTAAAAGCAAACAACAACAAACCCCACAAAATTAAAAGATGGAAGGAGGTTTATAGTAATATGGTTCCTGAAGCAAACCTAACAAGCCCCAAAGAAGTTGGAATTCAGAAAGCAAAGTGTGGGCCATGTGTAAGATGCTCACTTCTGAAACCCTCTAAACTCCAGATGCTGTTCTTTACCAGGTGAATTTTGGGGGGAGGGGTTAGACTTCAAGGAAGGAACAAGCCATAGGGAAAGGTGCCTGGAGGGGATTGAGCTGCAGGCCTTAGGCTGTTCACCTGCCCTAGTTGGTAGTGGTAAATAGCACAGAAGTCCTGGGGTGAGGAAAACACTCTATTTGGAACCTGTTATACCAGCATGACTGTGAAATCCCTGGCCTAAAGAAAAGAGTCAGGCTTGACAGTGAGGGAATAAAAGTCGAAAGCTCTAAATGGGCCTGCCTTTGTGCTCAATGTTAGTCACCATCCAACTTTAGAAGAGACGAAGAGAGAGACTAGGTCAGGAACGATGGAAACCATACAAAAGACAACGTTAGAGCACCATGGTTCCATCTACAGTGCCTTAAAGAGTGGGCAGAAATACTAGGGCCACAGGGAAATGAAGAGCAGAGCATCCTCCTAGCAGCCATCATAGGCATTCAGGCAAAGTCCCTGGGCTCTTGAACAAAAGCCTAAGAACGAAGGGTGCATCTAAGAACATGCCCTGATTTCCCCCAATTTCTTTTTTGTACAGAAGCAAACTGGCAACAAGTGAGCAGTGTGTCCTCCAGCAAAGCAGAAACAAGGGGAGACCATGGGTCAGCAGGCCAGCAGCCTCCTCTCAAATCCGACAGTCACTCTCCTCACCTCTGGGTAGCCTGACCTGGCTGCCTACATCTTCCTCCATTAAACTTCTGTCCTCCTCAGAAGTATGTCCCACCTGCCTCTGCTAACCAACCCTGGGACTAGTGCCCCTCAATCCTCTAGCCACAGCCTTTCCTCCCACTGGTCTGACTCCAGTAAGTGGCTTTTACATACCCAGATCAAATGTTTCTCTTAAATATTAGTAGATGCTGGAGGGGAGAAATTTAGTGATAGATACCAAGACTTAGACAAGGGAAGAAGTCCTTTTAGTCCCAAGACTCAGAGAGACCTGTGTTAGCATATGATGCAAACTGTTGTGTGGATCATCTCAAAATGTGCAATACCATACAACCATGTGTATACTAGTTATTCTGACAGAAATATATCAAATATGGTTCCCATTCTTGTCTTTTCATTTAACCCACATTGGAGGTCTTTCATATTAATACGTATTTGATCACATTGTGAAATTATTTAGTTATCTGGAATGCTTGTAATTCATCAAAATAGCAATGGACATCTTTACATAACTGAGAAAGTATTCTAGAAAGATAATGTCCTACCAGGGGGAATTTTGGGTCAAAGGCTTTATAAAATTTTTGACATATATTGCCAGAATACCCTCTGAGCCTGGCAACACACACCTATAATCCTGGCTTCTTGGAAACTGAGGCAAGAAGACCAAAAATGAGGTCAGTCCAGGCAGCACAGGAAAACCCCATCCCAAACATACACATATCTCCTCAAAACTCTGGGTGTCTCTCTCCTGACTGTGGGCAATCTTATCTGGCTACTGGTGGCTACTCCCTGCCTAGCAGTGACCTGGTTTTCTGTGGCCCGCCAGCACCCACAGGTTTTTGATACACTTCCCACACTAGCTTTCATTTGCCACAGGGTTGCAGGTGTTTTCATTCTCTTTAGTGATCACTTACAGGAGGCTCTGCTACTTAGAGAACTTGGAAAAACTGCCTCCACAGTATGCCTTTGGGCTTCTTCCCTCACTCCCAGCAACTCCCACAGCCCTCTTTCCCAAGTCTAGCTCCTCCTCCAGCATCCACAGTGGAGTTGCCATCTGCCTGCCTCTGTGCACATCCACAAGAGGACAGCAGTCCCCATCCCCTAAGGCTGCCCTCTCCAATTCCAGCCAACTCCCCCTCCCCAACACTACTTCAGACAGTCCACTGCTAGCTCTTCTTAGACACCCAAGAAATCCAAATCTGAGCACGTCACTATGATGAGTTGAGGCGGATCTCCACCCCAACATACCCTGGGGTAAATACAACTGTGAAGGAGGCCATGAGTGAGCACTCTTAACTTCCTCTTCTCAGACCCTTCCCTGGCTGCGTTTCTTTTACTGTTTTTTGCTGGCGGAGAGGCCACCCTCATGGAGACCATCAGGACCCAGATTAGCTCTACTGTGAGTCTGAAAAGAACTGGCACAGATGCAGAGGCTGGGAAGCAGTTCTTCTAAGCACTGCAGACTGGCTCTAAGGGCACCCTTTCTGCTCCAGGACACAGCGGAAGGAGTAGGCACTGGGTGGACACAGGGCAGTGGAACTGTGAATCCCAGACATGGCCTGTGGGGGCACTTCCTGCACAGCCCAGCAGGCCTCAGCTGGCAAGGAGCCTGTGTGTGGGAAGACGCAGGTCAGCAACACCCTGTTCCCATAAAAGAGGTCTTGCTGACCTGCCACGAGCAAATGGGAGGGATGCTTGCGCTCATCTCTTGAACTCCCTGTGCTGGGTCAACAAGGAAGGCTCTCCTGTACCCACTAGCAACCTAAGACATCTGACAAAAGCATGACATTTAATTAAAGCCACATTGCTTAAGTATCCAAATGGATAGACGACTTAACTGGGTAGGCCGAAAAGCAGCACACAGGCAGGGACACCTCATTTCAGAATTGGTAGGCTGGGAGACTTAGCTTCAAATCTGATGAGATAAGCTGAGTTTGAAGGCAATGCTTTATCTTCCTTTCTTGTCTCTGTCCTCTGTAGCTTCACTATATACAAAGAAAGGCCTCAGAGAGAGGGGTTTATAATAGTTCTTACAAGTATTTCCTCTCCGAATTCTTTCAGACTTCAAAAAATAGGCCAGGTATGGTTGCACATACTTTTATCTCAGCACTTGAGAGGCAGAGGTTGGCATTTCTGAGTTCAAGGCCAGCCTAATCTACATAGTAGTTCCATGACAACCAGGGCTACATTGAGAGACCCTGTCTCAAAATAATAATAAAATATGCAGCCTGTAAATCCTAGTACCGGCATTGAATCTGGCTTCATGACTGATAGGCAAGCAGTAAACCACTAACTCACATCCTCAGACCTCTTTTTGATTTTGATTGCGCAGGCAGGCCTCAAATTCTCATCCTCTTACCACAGCTTCCCTAGCAATTGGGTTTATAGGGTTGGACACCAGGTCTGGCAAACATGTAGTTCATATATGTCGTTGTCTGTGTTCATAACTGAGGGGGGGAGTGTGGATTGAGAAAAGGAATAGGCAGGACACAAGAGTGTCGGGAGGGCATCCAGTAAATACTGAACCCC